TGTGTTTTTCCTGGACTGTTAATTCTATTTCATTAATTTGCCTCCCTGTTATATTAGTTCTGGGCTATTTTGCTTACTGTAGCTGTATAATATGTTTTAAAGTCTTTGTTATTCCTTCTGTTTTGTTGTTCTTATGCAGCTTTGCTTTAACTGTTTGGGGCCTTTCGCTACTCTGTGTACAATTGAGAAATATTTGGGGTTGTCTTTGTTGTTTGTTTATATGTTTGTTTATATAGATGATGAGGCTTTGAGATTGCTTTTAATCTATAGATCATTTTGTGCATGTCTGACAGTTCCTTAAAGTGACTGTAAGCAAACAAACAAACCAACCCTGAATAAAGTATTAAAGCATTGTCCAGTAAAGGGAATCGCAGGACACTTAGGAAAGACAATACTGTAAGGTTTCACCATCAGTCAGTAAGACTGCGTGTTGACAACAGAAGGGTAGAGCAGAAGCCAAGGTGGACCTTTGCAGTGGAAAAAGTTTCTTGAGGACTTTCACATTTATATCCATAAGAGATATTGACCTATAATTTTATTTTCTTATGACATCTTTGTCTTATTTTGGTATTATGCTTCTTTCAAAGATAATATTAGGTAGCATTCCTACCTTCTCTATTTTGTGGAAGATCTTAAAGAGTTTTGGTGTCAATTCTTCTCTCAATGGGTAAAAATTCCCAATCAAGCCATCTGGTCCGGAACATTTGTTGTTGTTGTTGTTGTTAGGTGCTGTTGAGTAGAGTAGTACAACTCATAGCAACCTTGTCATATCCTGTGCCAGCCTCACAGCCACTGACACACTTGATTCCATTGCTGTAGTCACTGTGTCAACCCATCTTGTCCACCTTTCTAAGCATGATGTCTCTCTTCAATGAATGGCCTAACATAACCACATGCTCAAAGTATGCGAGACAAAGCCTTTTTGTTTCTGTCTTCATGGAGCACTCTGGATTCACTTTCTCCAGGACCTATCTGTTCTTTTGGCAGTCAGTACTCTTCTCCAGCACCACAGCTTGAAAGCATCAATTCTTTTTCTCTCATGCTTATTCATTGCCCAGCTTTCAGCAATATAGCAAGTGACTGAAAAGACCAGGGCCTGAGTAAGGCATACTTTAGTCCTTAAACTAAAATCATTGCTCCTCAGTAATTTGGAGAGGCCTCTGTCTGTAGAGTTTTCCAGTGCAGAATTGCTGGTACCGAGCATATTGATTGTGGATTCAAGTAAGATGATCATTGACAGTTGCAAGCTTTTCTCCATCTGTCATGATGTTGCCTGTAGGTCCAGTGGTGAGAATATTTGTTTTTCTTGATGGGAAGTTAAATATCATTGGCTCAATCTCTTCACTTGTTGAAAATTTAAATTTTTGTTGTTTTTTTCCTTTGAGTCAGTGGGTAAGTTGTGTGCTTCAAAGTCTGTCTGTCTTTCTCACTGTCATCATCACAGCTAGCTCATAGCTGACTCTCTGGGTTTCCAAGCCTCTACATTGCATGGGATGAAATTGCCCATTTTCCCACTGCAGGTGTATTTGAACAGCTAGAGAAGTAGAAAAAAATTCATTCAGTGTGACAGGAAGGTGAAGGTATTCATGAAGAGGTTTCCTTAAACCTTTAGCAACTTTGAATGTAGCAATTACTCCTCATTCACTTGCTCTTTTGTTAATGTTGGTTGGTCCTGTCAGGGCAGCTTCCCTTATGGTGACCTTGATTATGTACAACAGGATGAAGTATTGCCTGGTCTACACAATCCTCGTTTGTGTACAGTAGAATGAGGTATTGCCTATTCTACACAATCCTCGTTTATGTACCATAGAACGAAGTATTGCCTGTTCTACACCATCCTCTCAATCATTGCAGTGTTTTAGCCTGGTGTTGCGATGACCGTGTTAACCTGTTAGTCCTCTTTTTCTGTGGCATTTTACTTCTCTAAGCATAACGTCCAGTCCAACGTTTTGAGCTGCTGCTGTCTGTTTGATCCCACATAGATAAGTCTTAAAAGAGCCAAATGCTCTTATATTCTTTATGAGTTAAGTTAAACTGTTGTGTCTTTTAAGAAGACTTGGAGGACGATTTTTGGATTTAGGTATAAATAATATCTCAGGGTGATAGTTTCAGGGGTTCACTCAGCCTCCATGACTGCAGAAAGCCTGGAGTTCATGACAGTTTTAAATTTTGTTGTGCATTTTCTCATGTTGATCAGGATTCTTCTGTGGACTCTTGAATCAAAATACTTAGTAATGCTAGCTGGATATCATCCAGTTCTTCTGGTCTAAAGGCAAAGGGGCAGTCATTCAGGGACGTGATTAGCCATATATTCCATTTCCTTTTGCCTCTCCTTTTCCCTCTGCTGCTCCAGATGAATAGAGACTAGTTGTGCCATGGAGAGCCTGAGTCACTCCTCAACTAGCTAAGAGACAGAACAGAAACACTAACACTATTGGTAAGTAACTTAATACTCACTACTGGTGAGTAAGGTCACTCCTCTCAAATATCTCAGGAAACACGGCTCTAAATCTCCACATCAAGGAACCACATCTTTTCCGTGTTTTTTTTTAAATGAGCAAATGCACCATACTTTTACACAAAGTGGAGTAGTGTGTATTTTACTTAGTTGGAGGAGACTTAGAGTTACTGCAAGCATGCTATCTCTGCAAAATGTTTTAGCAGCCTTTTTACTTTTAGTTTTTACCAAAACCCTGCGATGTATAGGTATCATTATTCCCTAGAGATTAGGAAAAGTGAGGTTCAAAGATGTTACAAAAGGAAACTCAAGCAATTAGTAGGTTGTTAACCCAGTGTAGTCCCAGGTTTATAACCTTATGGTTCCCTTAAAGTTAGAAAGAATAATTGAATGTAGCTTTGATTTAATGAGTCATTATTGTCTTCCAAGCATTTAGATAAACAGTATACCAGACAGTTCTTGTTAAAATGTTTGAGATATATTGTTCATTTATCAGGGAATTGACTCTAGAATGTTGTCACTTTCCTTCAGTATTCTCTTTGTATATACTTTGAAATGGGATCAGGAGTCTTTCTGGCTCTCTTGGCCCGTGCCAGATCTTTGAATTTTCTTTACCAGACAGGGCCTTTTAAGGTTTTTTGGCGCAAAGTACAGCAAGAATCACATATTGGGGCATAGTAAGCATGTGTATACATATTATCGGCATGTGTATATACATGCATTGTAAGACAGAAATCTCATTTCATGTATTTCTGATGATGCTATTAAAATGTCTAATTTTTAATGAAAAAATTTACTCAATTTGCTAAAATAATTAAATGACCCTCTAATGTGTGTGACTTACAGTTGGAAAAGCATTACAACCTGCAACCTATACAGATTCCGTTTAAAAATACAAAGACTGCATTTGTTAAGATAAATGAAGAGAATATTTCACAATTAAAGTTAATAACTGTAAACATGTACTTTGAAAGTCTTCCCAGTTACTCAGATTTGAGAGGGGCGTGAGCATTGGTAGAGCTATGTGTGAAGTGCTGTGGGTGTCCGGTGTGCGACCCTGCTGGAGTTGATGGGGAGAAGGGTCTAGCAGGACCTGCCAATATCTGACTCTACCACATCTTTTCTTTCTGTTTTCTTGAATTGTCTATTAGATTATCTTATTTTATGGAGTATTGATCTCATTACTGTTAATATAAATAAATTTAGGATTATTTTTTTTATTTTGAAAATCAAAACATCATTTCCCCAGTAAATGTTACCAAATGGTGAAAGATAAAGGGATTGTTAAGAGGTCACACACTGGTAGTTCTGGGAATAGGTCTTCTATCTTTTCTTCTCAGTTTAGTTGTCTAGTTGAGAATGTTATGCCCATTGTCCAGTATAGTGTTATGGATGGCTGGCTAAGAGTATAATTGAAACAAATTTTGGTTAATTCATAAGCAGCTATTGGGAGATTGATATTTTATCAAGTCAGCATTTAAAAATGGCATGTTGTTATGTTCCATCGAGTCAGAGCTGACTCATAGCTGACCTTCCAGTGAGTTTTCAGAGGGTGTTAATTTCACGGGAGGAGATGGCTCATCTTTTCCCATAGAGCAGCTGGTGGATTCAAACCATGTGCTTTGGAATTAACAGCCCAACTCCTTAACCACTAGACCACCAGAACTCCCTAGTGGCCTGCTGGGTAAGGAGTGAAAATGGCATAGATGATTTAAAGTAGAGGAATTCTATTTTGTTTTTTATTTTTTCAAATATAAAGTCTTAAAAAAGAAAAAAAAAAGAAACGAAAGGCTATTGTATTTCAGATATAGGTCCAGTTTTGGTAATGTTGCTTAGTACTGTGATGTCAGGTGCTAAGTAATATTGCAATGTTATAATTTCCTTTTGTCCGTCTGCTTATTGCTTAGTCTTTGTTATTGTGTGCGTCTATCAAGTGATTCAAGCTCATCGCAATCTGCTGTGACAGAGTAAAACCAGAGGCTTTCCTAGGACGAGCATTTGTAGGGAGTAGATTGTACAGAGGGAGCAACTGGAAAGTTTCAAACTGCCGCCCTTTGGTTTGTAGCCATGCACTTAGCTGCTGTGCCACCACAGCACCTGATTTCGTTTCCAGTCTTTGCTAAATTATGTTAAAATTAGATTGCTAGAAGTGAGAGGAAAATGTACTGATTGTGGATACAGGTGTTTAAAAACCAAACAGTACACTGAACAGAAGTGACATCTTTCTCATTGCTGCCTGCTTGCTTTTGTTGAATCGAGTTCTTATTCTGCATAAAATTCAATTATTAAAATTACTTCTTTTAAACAATATGCTAAATTGTTCTAATTGGTATTATTAATATTAGTAATATTACTGTGTAACCAGCCTAATACATTCTCTTGTTGTCCTAAATAATAGTTGTTGTGTCTGTTTTTCGGCCTGATTATGAGAAAGGTGGTCTTTAAATGTTCATACATTACTGCTCTTCACTTGAGTTATTTTGAAGCATAAAGTACATATTTAAGTGTATAGAATAACCTCTTTTATGTTTGCATTTTCTAGGGCTGCACTGGAAGAAGTAGAAGGAGATGTGGCAGAATTAGAACTAAAACTTGATAAGGTAAATTTGTTTTCTCAACATTCTTGTTTTTCATAGATAATGTTTTATATTTTTTCTGATATAGTTCACATTACTACTTATTTTATTTGAATGAAAGTTTACAAATTGCATTAGATTTTTAAGTAGGCATTTATATACATTTTGTTTTATAGCATTATAATTCATTAATGTAATGAGTTAATTATAATGTCTGATCAACACTTTATTATATATCACCTTTTTCTTCACCTAGCTTGCCTGTCTTCTCTCTCACTGCCTTCTTATTCCTATTAGTCATCTAAGAATTGTTCTGTATGTAAATCTTTCCTTAAGTTTTATAAGAGCAGTCTTATACCATAATTAGCCTATTTTGAAGGACTTATGTCACTGCATACTTTCATCTAGATTCATCCATGTTGAGCTATGATTCATGAATTCGTTATTGTTTTCAGTGATGCATAATACTCCATTGTGTAAATGCCCCATAGTTGCTTTAGCTGGTCATCTGTTGATGAGTATTTGGGTTGCTTCTAACTTTTATCTAGTATAAATAATACTGCAGTCAGTATAAATGTGTTGTTGGTTCACATCACAACTCTTACTTACCTTTCCCATTCCCTCAAATGAAAAAAAATGTCTACTATCCAGGGAAGGCGTTCTGGTGGTATAGGGTATTATGTGTTCGGTGGTATAGGGTATTATTTTTTTTAAAAAATTTTTTTTTTTTTTCCATTTTTGTGTGAGTGTACCGTCAAATCAGATCTGACTGGTACAGGAGGAGATTGTCCCTCCTTCCCCGGCAGAGCATCTGGTGGATTCGAACCGTGTGCCTCTGGGATTGTAGTTGCAGTATGTGTTGGATTATTAACCAAAAGGTCAGTAGTTCCGATCCATTAGACCTGCTCCATGGGAGAAAGTTGAGCAGTTGCTTCCCAAAAAGATTTATCACTTTGGAAATCTAATAGAGAGTTGCCAGGGAGTTAGAATCAGTTTAACAGTAGTAGGTTTTGTGTTTTTGTTGTGTTGAGAAAGAGAGTCCTTCCCCTTTCCTCTAGAGATACTAGTGAATACTGTATTTTTGTTTTTGTTAATTTGTATTTTTGTTACTATTTTTGTTTTCTTATAAAGTACAATCATTCAATATTTGTCTTTTTTGTGGCTGACATATCATTGAGCATGCTGCCCCCCAAATTCATCAGTGTTATCTTTTGAGAACACATTTTTCTATATAAGTGTAATATTCTGTTGTATGTATATACTACATTTTGCTTATCCATTCTTTTGGTGAGCTCTTACATTGTTTCCCTGTTTTGTTACTGTGAAGAATGCTGCAGTTAACGGAGAATCTTAGGTCTCTCCATGTCTCTAGGGTTTCTGTACAGGAATGGGATTACTGGACCATATTTCTAGGTTTTTTAGTAAGTGCAAATACTTTACTTATAGTGATTGGACTATTTCACAGCCCCAGTAATGGTAAGGGTTCCAGTCTCCCTACAACCTTGCCAGTATTTTTTGTTTTTTTGTGTGATCTGTGCTGCCTTTGCAGGGGATAGTTCCTAATTTTGGATTATGATTGTTATTCAAATAAGTACACCAACAACTAAAGCCAAAGAGGAGGAAATTGAAGAATTCTACCAGTTTTGGGAGACTGAAATTGATCAAACATGCAATCAAGATGCATTAATAATTATTGGTGACCAGAATGCAAACGTTGGAAATAATGAGCAAAGATTGGTAGTTGGAAAAGTATGGACTTTGTGATAGAAATGAAGGTAGAGATTGAATGATTGGATTTTGTATGTTCAATGATTTATTCAGCGTAAATGCCTTTTATAAAAAAACAGAAAGACTGGTTTTGCACATGAATTTCACCTGATGGACTGCACAGGAATCAGATTGACTACATATGCAGAAGGAAACCCTGGAGGAGCTTAATGTTGGGAGTCAAAACCAGACCAGGTGCTGACTGTGCAAGTTAAAATTGAAGCTGAAGAAAATGAAAACACGTCAAAATACAACCTTGAGTCTGTCCCACCTGAATTTATAAATGATCTTAAGAACAAGTTTGAAGCATTGAGCACCAGTGATCGAAGAGCAGAGGCGCTGTGGGATGACATCACAACTCATTCATGAAGAGAACAAAAGGTTGTTACAAAGAAGAAAAAGAAAAAAAGCAAACTGGATCTCAGAAGACTCTATGAAAATGGCTTCAGAGCTCTGAGAAGCCAAAAACAAAGGGAAGAGATGCTGAAATAAAAGAGCTGAAGAAAATTTCAAAGTGTAGCTTGAGAAGTCAAAGCAAAATATTATAATGAAATGTGCAAAGAACTGGAGTCAGAGAATAAAAAGAGAAGAACTCACTTGGCATTTCTCAAGCTGAAAGAACTGAAAAAAAAAACATATTCTAGCCTCAAGTTGTAATTCTGATAAATGCTATAGCCATAATCTTGAATGATCTAGGAAGCATCAAAAGAACATGGAAGGAATACACAGTCATTATACCCACCCCCCAAAAAAATTGATGAACACTGAAAAATTTCAGAAAGTCATCATCAAAAATCTGTGTTCTGCAGATGATACAACCCTGCTTGCTGAAACTGAGGAGGACCTGAAGGGCTTGCTGCTGAAGGTCAAGGACTGCCTTGAAGATCAAAGTCAAAGCCTTCATTATGGATTGAAGCTTAACATCAAGAAAACAAAGATACTCACCATTGGGCTGATTGGCAGCATCATGATTGATGGTGAAGAGATTGAGATTGTTAACAGCTTTAGTTTGCTTGGCTCCACAGTCAGCAGTCTTGGTACTAGCAGTTAGGAAATTAAAGGATGAATTGCATTGGGAAGGTCTGTTTTCAGAATCAGAGACCTCTCCAAAGTATTGAAGAACAACGATGTCATTCTGGAGACTCAGGTGCACCTGGTCCAGGCTGTAGTCTTTGCAATGACTTGTTATGCATCAGAAAGCTGGACGGTGACTAGGCATGATAGAAGGAGAATTGATGCCTATGAGCTATGGTGCTGGAGAAGAGTATTGTCTATATATACCACGGACTGCTGAGAGAACAGACAGGTTTGTCCTAGAGAGGCTGCTTCTTGGAGGCAAGGATTCTGAAGCTTTATCTGACATACTTTGAACATGTTGCAAGGAGGGACCAGTTCTTGGAGAGGGACATCATGCTTGGGAGGGTGGAGGACAGCACAAGAGGGGAAGACCCTTGATGAACTGGATTGATTTAGTGACTGGGGTAATAACGATAGGTGTGTCAGAGAATGAAATTGGCACAGAATAGAGCAGGGTTTAGGGCTGTTGTACATAGGGCTTCTATGAGTTGCAGGTGACTTGATGGCATATAACAGCAACAACCACCAGCATATGAACAAGGGCTCGTGGTAATAAAGGAAAGGTTAAACTGTGTTGAAGGCACTAGTAAAAAGAAATAAATAAATAAAATCCCCAGTAATAGATGGGATACCAATTGACATGTTTCAACTAACAGATGCAGCCCTCGAGGTGCTCTACCAGTCTGTGCCAGGAAATTTGGAGAAAAGCTGCCTGCCTACAGACTAGAAGAGATTCCTGTTTGTTCCCATTCTCCAGGAAGGTGATCCAAAACAATGTGGAAATTATTGAACAGTGTCATTAATATTACATGTAAGCTATGCAAGCTTATATTGGACAGTTAGAGCAGTACATTGACAGAGAACTAGCAGAAGTTCAGGCTGGTTTAAAAGAGGCTGTGACACCAGAGATATCATTGCTGATGTCAGATGGATCCTGGCTGAGTGTAGAGAATACCAGAAGAATGTCTGTCTCTGTTTTATGGACTATGCCAAATGCATTTGACTGTGTGGATCATAACAAACTATGGCTAAAACTGAGAAGAATGGGAATCCCAGTGTATGGAATTGTGCACAAGCAAAACCTGTACCCAGATCAAGAGGTGAACAAAGCAAGGGAACACTATGTGGCTTAATATTAAGAAAGGTGTACATCAAGGTTGTATCCTTTCTCTACCTATTCAGTCTGTATTGAACTAATGATTCATGAGACTGGACTCATGAAAAGAGGAATGTGGCATCAGCATCAGAAGATGACTTATCAAAAATCTGTGTTATGTAGTTGATGAAATCTTGTTTCTTGAAAATGAGGACTCAGAAGGCTTGCAGCAAGCAGAAGACCAAGGACTACACCTTTCAAACTGGATTACATTTCAACATCAGGAAAACAAAGCCAAATACTGGGCCAATGAGCAACATAATAGATGGAGAAAGGATTGAAATTGGCAATGATTTAATTTTATTTGGATCAACAATCAACATACTTGGTAACAAAAGTCAGGAGATCAGGACATGTAGTGCTTTGGGTAAGTCAGCTGTCAGGAACCTCTCCATAGTGTTGAAGAGAAGTGATCTCATTTTGAAGACTGAAGTGTGCCTGATTTAGGCCATGATCTTTTAGTCACTTACTGTGCATCTGGATAATGAATATGGATGACAGAATCATAATGAGAGCTAGATAATGAATAAGGATGACAGAAGAATAAATTGATGCCTTTGAGTTGTGTTGTTGGAGAAGAGCACCAAATATCCCAGGGACTGCCAGAAGTACAAACAGATGTCTTGTAAAAAAGTAAAGCCAGAGTGCTCCTTGGAGGCAGAGATTTGTCTCACATACTTTGTTCATATTGTTAGTTGAGGCTGTTTCTTGGAAGGGCACCTAATATTTGGTAAAGTGGAGAGGCAATGAAAGAGAGGAAGACCCTCGATGAGATGGATTGACCCTGTGAGTGCAGCAATGGCCTCATGTGTGTCAGAGATGATTATGATAGCACAGTGTAGGACAGGGTCGCTATGAGTCAGACTCCTCTTGATGCCCCTAACAACAACATTATCTCTAAAGCGAGACAATGGTGGCTTCTTGTTGTTAGAAATGGCTTAGAAGGATTGCACTTTGATCCAAAGGTATGTGGTTCGAACCCATCAGCTTCTCCATGAAAGAAAGATGAGTAATCTCCTCCTGC